GAACTCAGGACTAAGAAACTCAATCAAAACCGCTCAACTACATGGAAACTGAACAACCTGCTCCTGAATGACTATTGGGTACATAACGAAATGAAGGCAGAAATAAAGACGTTCTTTGAAACCAATGAGAACAAAGATACAACATACCAGAATCTCTGGGACACATTTAAAGCAGTGTGTAGAGGGAAATTTATAGCACTAAATGCCCACAAGAGAAAGCAGGAAAGATCTAAAATTGACACTCTAACATCGCAATTAAAAGAACTAGAGAAGCAAGAGCAAACACATTCAAAAGCTAGCAGAAGGGAAGAAATAACTAAGATCAGAGCAGAACTGAAGGAGATAGAAACACAAAAAACCCTCCAAAAAATCAATGAATCCAGGAGTTGGCTTTTTGAAAAGATCAACAAAATTGAGAGACCGCTAGCAAGACTAATAAAGAAGAAAAGAGAGAAGAATCAAATTGACGCAATAAAAAATGATAAAGGGGATATCACCACCGACCCCACAGAAATACAAACTACCATCAGAGAATACTATAAACACCTCTATGCAAATAAACTGGAAAATCTAGAAGAAATGGATAATTTCCTGGACACTTACACTCTTCCAAGACTAAACCAGGAAGAAGTTGAATCCCTGAATAGACCAATAGCAGGCTCTGAAATTGAGGCAATAATTAATAGCTTACCAACCAAAAAAAGTCCAGGACCAGATGGATTCACAGCCAAATTCTACCAGAGGTACAAGGAGGAGCTGGTACCATTCCTTCTGAAACGATTCCAATCAATAGAAAAAGAGGGAATCCTCCCTAACTCATTTTATGAGGCCAACATCATCCTGATACCAAAGCCTGGCAGAGACACAACAAGAAAAGAGAATTTTAGACCAATATCCCTCATGAACATCGATGCAAAAATCCTCAATAAAATACTGGCAAACCGGATTCAGCAACACATCAAAAAGCTTATCCACCATGATCAAGTGAGCTTCATCCCTGGGATGCAAGGCTGGTTCAACATTCGCAAATCAATAAACATAATCCAGCATATAAACAGAACCAAAGACAAGAACCACATGATTATCTCAATAGATGCAGAAAAGGCTTTTGACAAAATTCAACAGCCCTTCATGCTAAAAACGCTCAATAAATTCGGTATTGATGGAACGTACCTCAAAATAATAAGAGCTATTTATGACAAACCCACAGCCAATATCATACTGAATGGGCAAAAACTGGAAAAATTCCCTTTGAAAACTGGCACAAGACAGGGATGCCCTCTCTCACCACTCCTATTCAACATAGTGTTGGAAGTTCTGGCTAGGGCAATTAGGCAAGAGAAAGAAATCAAGGGTATTCAGTTAGGAAAAGAAGAAGTCAAATTGTCCCTCTTTGCAGATGACATGATTGTATATTTAGAAAATCTCATTGTCTCAGCCCAAAATCTCCTTAAGCTGATAAGCAACTTCAGCAAAGTCTCAGGATACAAAATTAATGTGCAAAAATCACAAGCATTCTTATACACCAGTAACAGACAAACAGAGAGCCAAATCAGGAATGAACTTCCATTCACAATTGCTTCAAAGAGAATAAAATACCTAGGAATCCAACTGACAAGGGATGTAAAGGACCTCTTCAAGGAAAACTATAAACCACTGCTCAGTGAAATAAAAGAGGACACAAACAAATGGAAGAACATACCATGCTCATGGATAGGAAGAATCAATATCGTGAAAATGGCCATACTGCCCAAGGTAATTTATAGATTCAATGCCATCCCCATCAAGCTACCAATGAGTTTCTTCACAGAATTGGAAAAAACTGCTTTAAACTTCATATGGAACCAAAAAAGAGCCCGCGTCTCCAAGACAATCCTAAGTCAAAAGAACAAAGCTGGAGGTATCACGCTACCTGACTTCAAACTATACTACAAGGCTACAGTAACCAAAACAGCATGGTACTGGTACCAAAACAGAGATATAGACCAATGGAACAGAACAGAGTCCTCAGAAATAATACCACACATCTACAGCCATCTGATCTTTGACAAACCTGAGAGAAACAAGAAATGGGGAAAGGATTCCCTATTTAATAAATGGTGCTGGGAAAATTGGCTAGCCATAAGCAGAAAGCTGAAACTGGATCCTTTCCTTACTCCTTATACGAAAATTAATTCAAGATGGATTAGAGACTTAAATGTTAGACCTAATACCATAAAAATCCTAGAGGAAAACCTAGGTAGTACCATTCAGAACATAGGCATGGGCAAAGACTTCATGTCTAAAACACCAAAAGCAACGGCAGCAAAAGCCAAAATTGACAAATGATATCTCATTAAACTAAAGAGCTTCTGCACAGCAAAAGAAACTACCATCAGAGTGAACAGGCAACCTACAGAATGGGAGAAAATTTTGGTGATCTACTCATCTGACAAATGGCTAATATCCAGAATCTACAAAGAACTCAAACAAATTTACAAGAAAAAAACAAACAACCCCATCAAAAAGTGGGCAAAGGATATGAACAGACATTTCTCAAAAGAAGACATTCATACAGCCAACAGACACATGAAAAAATGCTCATCATCACTGGCCATCAGAGAAATGCAAATCAAAACCACAATGAGATACCATCTCACACCAGTTAGAATGGCGATCATTAAAAAGTCAGGAAACAACAGGTGCTGGAGAGGATATGGAGAAATAGGAACACTTTTACACTGTTGGTGGGATTGTAAACTAGTTCAACCATTGTGGAAAGCAGTATGGCGATTCCTCAAGGATCTAGAACTAGATGTACCATATGACCCAGCCATCCCATTACTGGGTATATACCCAAAGGATTATAAATCATGCTGCTATAAAGACACATGCACACGTATGTTTTTTGCGGCACTATTCACAATAGCAAAGACCTGGAATCAACCCAAATGTCCATCAGTGACAGACTGGATTAAGAAAATGTGGCACATCTACACCATGGAATACTATGCAGCCATAAAAAAGGATGAGTTTGTGTCCTTTGTAGGGACATGGATGCAGCTGGAAACCATCATTCTTAGCAAACTATCACAAGAACAGAAAACCAAACACCGCATGTTCTCACTCATAGGTGGGAACTGAACAATGAGATCACTTGGACTCGGGAAGGGGAACATCACACACTGGGGCCTATCATGGGGAGGGGGGAGGGAGGAGGGATTGCATTGGGAGTTATACCTGATGTAAATGACGAGTTGATGGGTGCTGACGAGTTGATGGCTGCAGCACAGCAACATGGCACAAGTATACATATGTAACAAACCTGCACGTTATGCACATGTACCCTAGAACTCAAATTATAATAATAATAAAAAAAAATCTTAAAAAAAAAAAAAAAAGAAACCTAGAAAAAAAAAAGAGTGATAATACTAGAAGTGAAACTTGCATTAAACATAAAATGGAGCAAATGAAAAAAATAGCTGCCTGTGGGAACATCCTGATTGTGGGAACAATGACACTGCCACCATTTGAGACATTCTAGATATGCAGACTGAGGAAATCAGTGAAGGTGAACCTACAGACATAAATGAGGAAAAGTGGTTGTGATGAAAGGCTGATGATGTGTCAGAGGAAGTGACACTGGCAAAAAAAACACATTAAAGGAACTCTCAGAGATATTTCACAACACTGAAAACGTAACAGATAAAATGTTGGAAACTAATATTTAAATTTCTCCGGAACGCAGAACTCATATGCAACTGTGTTCTCCACTGTCCAAGTAAATATCTTCAAAGGTTCCTCAATTATCGTGGGCAAAATTAAAAGTAAAACTTGCTTCTTCCCTTTGGAAAACCCTCTCTCAGAGTATATTACCAACATTCAACTTCTTATACAAGACATAAATCTGGGAATCATTAATCATTCTTCCCTTTTCGTCATTCACGTATCCAATCAATTTCCATGGACTGCTGATTCTATTTCTTAGACGTTTTTCAAATGTCTCCACTATCTTTATTCTACTTGGGAACTCTGTGGCCCAGGCTTCCATCAACTCTCTCCCGGACAAGTGTAATCACAAGAGTTACCTAACTTGGCTACCACTATTGTTCTCAGTTGCAACCCATTCTCCAAGCAGAAAACAAAATGCAATAGCTGTTACCTTATTCTCATCTTCACACCTCTACCCAAGTACACATGGCTCTTCCTCATCCAGTTTCTGTCTACTTCATCTCTTGTCAATGGTCCCTACCCCAATTCTCCGCTCTAGTCATTCTGAACTTTGTTCAATTCCTGGCCTGTGTCCTCTGCCTTTTTAATAGGCTGCCTGACACACTGTAGGAACTCACTAAATATGCAGACTGAATGAATGAACGAGTACTTGGAGGGCAGTTATTCTTACCAGTAACTTAAGAGAGAAGGAATACAGTACAACGAAGTATCCTTATTTAGGTTTATAGTATCTTCATCTGAGCCCGCGGGCGAACCCCCCCCCCGCCCCCGCCCCGCGCCGCCCCTCGCCTGCAAGTTGTTACCAGTAAATAAAAAGGATCCTATTTTCGCAAGCCACACCGCATTAGAGGGTAAATAAGAGTTTGGTGGCAGGAGAGCGATGAGACGGGAAAGTGTGGGGCAAAGTTTACAGTTATTGGTCCAGATTCTAACTGGCCTGTTAGCCAAAAAGTAAGGTTTTCTTTACCTCCGTGTTGACTCTGCTCTCCGAAGGCGAAGAGGGTCCTCCAAACCCGTTTGTCGCGCGGACAAAAACCCCAGCATAGCGTGTCCTCACACCGGCTGGAGTACTGGACGTCGCCATGACAGAACTCAGGGGCGGGACTGGAACAGCAGAGTCTCCCATTGGTCCGGCGGTGATATATCCGGCCAATGGTGAGCGCCGTTACTAGAAGGGCTCCAGGATGGAGGCCGGCCTGACCTCTCCGCCTCAGTGGGCTGGGTTGGGTGCTGGAGCGTTGCTCCTACTGCGGATCCTGCTGCTGGCAGCGCTGGAAACTGGGTGGACGGCATGGGTTGGTCTCAGGATTTGTTCCGCGCCTTGTGGAGATCGCTGTCAAGGGAAGTGAAGGAGCACGTGGGCACGGACCAATTCGGGAACAAATACTACTGCATCCCGCAGTACAAGAACTGGAGAGGTGAGGAGGGGGCGAGGGCAGCGATTGCGTGGTCAGTAAAGGAGGGAAAAGTGAGAGCCCCTAGTCAACTAACGCATCATGAGACACTTAGGGTGTCACCGGAGGGAATTTCTGGAGTTCGTTGGCCACTGTCGACCCCTTCACTCTGCCATCGGAGCCCTACCCGGCCCGGCTCTGGGGGCCTTGGCCCGGCCTCGTGCGTCCGCGGTCCCTACGACCCAGCGCTTTCCCCCGGCGTGCCCCGGGCTGCTCGCGCTGTTAAGGCACACATCACTTTCCTCCCAGCCACGCCGGTAGAGGAGCCTTAGTTTTAACCCTGGATCGGCGTCGGAGGCGGGGAAAAGTCCACGCAAATCTTTCACCAAAGGGGCTAGGAAGGGCCAGGGAAGAGGTTTTTCGTACGCTGTGCCCCGCCTTGTGACCCAGAGCTGAGTGGTGTAATTGAAGAGGAGTATCTTCAGGGCCTCGGGTGTCCTCTTTCTTGGTGTTTACCCTTTTCGGTGGCACCCTGGCTCCGGCGCTGGCCCCATGCGCCTTCCTCACTACCAAGACTTGTCAGAAGTGGGTCCGTATCCCCATAAGGCTCGCTGATTCCTTTCTCTGGAGTTTACATTCCAAGACCCCGTTGAGCTCAATTTAAGAAACTTGGCACTAATCATGGTGTTTCTGTGTAGGATTCGTGCCAAGTAGTTGAGCGGGTTGTTTGGGGACTAAGGAGGCGTTGCTGTCCATTGAAATCACACTGTGTAGCCGCCGTCGTAACCTCTTTTCTGTTGTTCCATCGCCGCATGCAGAAGATGTCAGGCTTTGGGCGAAAAGGGGTGAGTTAGAATCTCAGCTTTGACACCTGATAGCTCGAGAATCACGGAAAAAGTACTTGTCCTCTCCAAGTCTCATCGTCCTCACTTGAAAATTAGAGATAATATAAGATCAATAATGTTGAGAAGCACTAAGACCTTTCCAAAATTATGTGCCATTCATTTCCCACATATATAAAATGTATTCTGCGATTTATCACTCAATTAATTAATTTTTTTTTTGCCTAGCCTTTTTCTGTAACTTATTTTAATATTTAGTCTTGTTTCCCCAATGAGCTCCTTTGTCAGGCAGGGAATATGTCTCACACACACACACACAAAAAGCCTACAAAGAACATAGCATGGTGTTAAGTATTTCTTGACAGATTGCAAGCAGAGAGATGTTTCTTTTCCATAAGTTGTCAGTAAAATTAAAAAAATATGCAAACTGTCACGTTGAGTTTTTTAAAAATTGAAATATAATTTACATACAGTAACATTCACCCTTTATGGTGTACAGTTTTATGGTTTTTGACAAATAAGTACAGAGTAACATCACTGGATTCAAGTAATAGAATAATTCCATCACCATCAGAATTTCCTCTAACTCCTTAGTAGTTCATTCCCACACCCTTTGGCAACTATCAATGTGTTTTATGGGCCTATAGTTTTGCCTTTTCTGGAATATCATATAAATGGAATTATGCAGAATTTAGACTTTTGAGCCTGGCTTGCTTCACATAGCATAATGTAGTTGAGATTCATCCATGTTTCAGTAGTTGTTCCTTTTTATTGCTCAGTAGTATTCCATTGTATAGGTTTGCCAGTTTATCTGTTCACAAGCTGAAGGACATTAGGATGTTTCCAGTTTCTGTGATTGTGACAAAAGCCTCTACAAACATTCCCATACAGGATTTTGTGTGAACGTAAGTTTTCATTTTCCATGAGTACATACATACCTAAGAGTGTGTGTGCTAGACCATAGCAGCTCCAGCTTACTCTATAAAACGGAAATAACAGTACCTACCTAGCCTCACAAAGTGTTTTTGCTACTCAAGAGAGACAAATTGGATAATGTAGCACTTGAGAGAATGGGATTTAATGTCAAAGTCAGTTTGACTTAATTCATAGAGATCTTTTACTTGATCATTTTTAAAAATTTATCACTGATTTGTAGTTTTCAACATAGAGGTCGTGCTATGTTTTGTTACATTTATTATAAAGTATTGTTATTATAAATGATGCTTTAAAAAACTTAATTTCTAATTCTTTATTACTAATATATTGAAGTACAATAGATTTTTCCATCTTGAGCATGTATCTTGCAACCTATTTTACTCACCTACTAGTTTTTGAATGAAGCTTTTTGCAGATTCTTGGACATTCTCTGTAGTTAATTATATCAACTGTGGAGAGAGACAGTTTTGTTTTTTCCTTTCTAACTTATTTGCATTCTCTTTCCTTCTCTTGCCTGGCTGCCCTGGGTGAGCCTCCAGTATAATGTTGAATAAGAGTGGTGAGCATGGATATTTTTTTCTTGTTCCATATCTTAGAAGAAAAACATTTAGTCTTTCATTTTTTTTTTCCCCAAGATGGAATCTCACTCTGTTGTCCAGGCTGGAGTGCAATGGCGTGATCTCGTCTCACTGCAACCTCCGCCTCCTGGGTTCCAGCGATTCCCCTACCTCAGCCTCCCGAGTAGCTGGGATTACAGGCATGTGCTGCTATGCCTGGCTAATTTTTTATTTTTAGTAGAAATGGGGGTTCACCATGTTGTATAGGCTGGTCTCGAACTCCTGACCTCAGATGATCTGCACACCTTGGCCTCCCAAAGTGCTGGGATTACAGGCATGAGCCACCATGCCAGTCACTAGTCTTTCATTGTTAAGTATGGTGTTAGCTATAATTTTTAAGATACCTTTTATTAAATTAACAAAGTTCCCAGTACCTCGTTTGCTGAGCACTTTCTTTTATGAATTGATGTTGAATTTTGTCATATGCTTGCTTGCTGTTTTTTTTTTTTTTTTTGGTTCTGTTGGAATGATCATGTGGTGAATTATACTGATGGACTCTTAAAAATTTACAGACTTTATTTTTTAGAGCAATTTTAGGTTTACAGAAAAATTGAGTGGAAACTACTCAGATACTCCTTCTCCCCCAGTGCAGTTTCTCCCATTGTTAATATCTTACATTAGTGTACCCTCATTTCCTCCCTTCCTGCTACCAAACCCCTAAGTGGCCACTGATCTTTTTTACTGTGTCTAGTTTTGCCTTTTCCAGAATGTCATATAGTTGCTGTCATACAGTATGTGGTCTTTTCAGACTGGCTTTTTCCACTTAGTAATATGCACTTAAGTTTCCTCCATGTTTTTTTGTGGCATAAGAGCTCCTTTCTTTTTATTTATTTATTTTTGAGACAGGGTCTCACTCTGTTGCCCAGGCTGGAGTGCAGTGGTGTGATACTGGCTCAGTGCAACCTCTGCCTGTCAGGTTCAAGTGATTCTCCTGCCTCAGCCTCTCGAGTAGCTAGGATTACAGGTGTCCACCATCACGCCCAGCTAATTTTTATAATTTCAGTAGAGACGGGGTTTCGCCTTGTTGGCCAGGGTGGTTTTGAACTCCTGACCTCAGGTGATCTGCCTGCCTCAGCCTCCCAAAGTGCTGGGATTATAGGCGTGAACCACTGTGCCCAACCATCTCCTTTCTTTTTATTGCTAAATAATATTCTGTTGTATGGTTAGAACCACTGTTTATCTATTTGCATATTGAAGGACATCTTGGTTGCTTCCAAGTTTTGGTGATTATGAATAAAGCTGCTATAAATATTCCTGTGCAGTTTTTTTGAGTGGACGTAAGTTTTAAACTCATTTGGCATTGATTGATTGTTGAATGTCTTGAATATTGCATTTGTCATGTAAGCTGCACTTGGTCATGAAACATTATCCTTTTTATATATTGTTGGATTGATGTGCTCACATTTTATTGAAGAATTTTGTTTTTCTTCAGGATCTTCATTTCTTCCTCTTAATGTGTTTTCTAAGTTTGTTTTTAGGTTAATGCTGGCCTTATAAAGTAAGTTGAATTTTGTTTCCTTCTTTTGGATTTTCTGGAAGAGTTGTGAAGAATTTGTATTGTTTATTTCTTGCATGTTAAATATAAATTGCCTGTGAAGCCATCTGGTCCTGGAGTTTTCCTTGTTGGAAAGCTGGAATTAAAAATTCAAAGATAATACATTTTTAACCTGCAAATTTAATATCTTTAACAGGTATAAGACTACTCAGGCTATTTTATCTTAGGTGAGTTTTGGTAGTTTTTATCTTTTGAGTAGTTTGCCCTTTTTATCTAATAGGTTGAATTTACGGTCATAAAGTTGTAATATATCTTCATTATCTTTTTAATGTTTGTACGATTTGTAGTGATATCCTCTCTTTCTTTCCTGAAGTGATAATTTGTGGCTATTCTTGTTTTCTTGGCCTACCTGATGACTGGTTTGTTAATTTTATTGATCATTTTAAAGAATTAGCTTTGAGTTTCACTGATTTTTCTCTGTAAGTTTTTTCTTCATTGGTTTCAGACTTAGCGCTTTCTCTTATATCATCATCATTTTCTTCTGCTTTCAATTGGTTTTATATATTCTTATAGTTTCTTAAGGTGGCCACTGAGATCATAATTTGAGCTGTTTATTTTTTAATATACATTTTTAATGTTAAAATGTCTTGTAGGCACTGTTTTGGCCACATTTCACAAATTTTTATCTTAAAATTTTCATGCAACTAATAAATTTTCTTATTTATTTTTTCCTATAAGACCCATGTATTTATTTAGAAGTATGTTCTTTAATTTACAAATATTTGGAGATTTTCTAGATGGAGATTTTCATTGACTTCTAGTTTAATTCCATTATATTCAGAGGACATATTTTATATGATTTCAGTTATTTTAAATTTACTGTAAATTGTTGTATGGCCTGGAGTATGGTGTGATTTGGTAAATGTTCTATTTGTGCTTGAGAAAAATGTATTATCTATTTTGCTATTTTGGGTTGAATGTTCTGTAAATGTCAGTTAGCCCAAGGTGCTTGATAGAGTTGTTCAAGCTGTCTATATTCATACTGATTTTTCTTTATACTTATTGTATCAATTATTGAAAAAAGTATGTTACCGTCTCTGAATATGAGTGCACATTTATCTTTTACTCTTTCCA